TTTGGTGAAGGTTATTTAGATAAAAGCAGGTAATATCCTTAAGTCCATTCAGTTGGATACTTGTTAACTCCAATATATTGTAGCATACTGAAAATAAACACATTGTCAACCTCTCTGTTTTGTGAAACACCCTCATGAGATGTTACTGTGTGTGACACATGATCTGCTAATAGACAGTTCAAGGGAAGGTGATGAATGTATTCTAAATTCTAATGTGGTTAACTAATTACGTTTAAAAAATTAGTAAGTAAATATAACTAGGAGATCACATTCTATTTCTGCAGCCAGTAGATTGTCTTGCTTAATACAGTCCCCACTTTGTAGACCACAGGGCCGGTGGGCATTTGTGTATAATAAAGCTGGTCCAGATTGTCAGATGCCTTGGATGCTGAACTTGTAGTTATACTCTATTTTGTATGTACTGGATGCTTCTATAGATTTTTACACAAAGGAATGACAAGATGACGGGAATATTTTTTAAAAAATATTAATTTGGCAGTAATGTCCCAAGGATAAATGGACATGTGCAGAAAATAAGTTATCCCTTGGATGTCTATAATAATAGAGATAATATGGACTATTAATGGTAGAGATACTAGTTTCAAGATAAGCGATAGGTATGATAAGAGAGGAGATGATAGAGGTGAAGGAGTCACATTCTTGAGACTGTATTGTAGGTAGCGTGGTATAGAGGACATAGCATGTGTTTTGAAATAAGAGAGACTTGGGTTCATTTTCTGGCACTAGCACTTATTCTTACTAGGTAGTATGAGGCATATTGTTTAGCTTTTGGAATCTTGGTTTTCTCATTTGTCAGACACACTCATACTCCTTGATAGGTGAGATAATACAGATAAATAAACTGGCAGAGTGCCTGGTACATAGTAGTTACAGGGTAAATGTTCGTTCCTTTTTATCTTCATTCTTCTCACCTTTTTGAACTTGGGTGACTAAGAAAATATTTGCACTATTAAAAGAAATGCAGAATTCAGAAGGCGTTCTGGCTAGAGGGAGAATATGAAATAGATAATTTCAAACCTGAAAATTGAGTTGATGGAGTGGCGTGCAGCTTGGCAAGCAGGATAGAGGCTTGGTCAGGCTACACATTTGTTTTCATAATGAAACCATGGAGTGGATAAAGGTTCTGGAGAGAGAGAATTGTGATGAAGAGTAGGCACTAAGTTTGAGTCTTGAGTCTTACTGTTGCCACTAATTAACTTTTTGACTCTGGGCAAATTACTTAATCTGTCTAAACTTCAATCTCTCGTATTTAATATGATTGATTAAATGAGAGTAGACTTTTAAGTCTTTTCTAGTGCTTGAATTAATCTGTCAATTCTTAGAGCAGAGGCCCAAGCACTAGTTCTTCAGGTAAAATAATGATAATCAGCATTTATTAAACAGCTGCTGTGTGCCAGGGGTCTTTTAAATCCCACAATAACCCTGTAAGGTAGGTATTATTGTCACTGTTTTACAGATAAGGAAACTTGAGCCTTACTGAGACTAAGGAACCCATGCAGAATCACAAAGCTCATAAATGCTGCCTCTTGATATGCTTGCATTACCAAGTTAGAAGGGAAGGGAGCTAGTAAAGACATAAAAAGAGGATTATAGAGAAAACGTTGGCAGCATCATGTACCTGCCTTAGCAAGAATTCTGAAATGCATTAAGGGCATGGCAGAGAGGCATCAGAAAAATTAATCATCTGTCAGGAAGCTGTTATAATTGTGTTAGAATAAATGAATGGATGAGTGAATGAACAAACAAGTTTTAAAGTCTTATAATGGGATGATCTTTAGCCACTTTTTTTTTTTTTAAAAAAAACTAGTTTTTCTGACCTAATTGTATTTCTTTAGTTTCTAATTGTGAGATAAAAGGCTATTTACAACTCATCTTAACTTTTCAACTTATCCTTTTTAACTTTTATTGATGTGTTGGGAAATTCTTTGTAGATGAATCAGATTTATTCTCCTTTATATCCATAACAAGACTGAGAGAGAAATTTTAAATTTAGTATAACTTTAAGTGTTATTCTTTTTATCACTGAACAAAAGGAGATATTCATCAGCAGAAACACAGGTTTGTGATTTTGTGTTTTATAAAAAGATTGAGTTAGTATCGTGATACTGTGTTAAATGAAGAATAACCTTGGTCACAGAAATTGAATCTTGAATGTAGCAGTATCATCTAAAATATACAGCAAGAAATTAAATTAAACCTGTAAGGATGTAGTGTAGGTTCAGATAGCATAGAACAGATTTACAGAGCAGAACTCCCTTCGAAAAGGCTTGCAAGAAAAATTGTTTGTTTTAACAAGTAGTCACTTCCCACTGAAATCCAATTACTTCTAGACATGTGCAAAAGAAATAAAATGCTCAAGTGATATAAAGTGTGTGACAAGTTTCATTTAACTAGTTGGTTTCAAGTTTTAGGAAGGTAGGTGATGAAACTTCAGTTCTCAGAATTCTTATGATCACTAGAGTAGAGTGAACTGTATTTTTTAATGTTCAGGAAGCACTTTTGAGTAAGCCAAATATATATTGTCCTTGAAGTTACCAGAGGAATTATTCACACAGCCACATTTGTACTGTTGTAATTATTTAAAATGAGTTTTGTGGAAAACAAATATTGCTGTACTTCCACTCCCTACGTGTATTTACACAAAGAAACTCTTTCAGTGTCAGGTTTTCAGAAACCGATTTAGATTACTTGGCTAGTGGGCCCTGAGGCTGAAAAGATTTCCTGGAGAGAAGGCGGTGCTCAAAAAACAAATCGGTGGAAATTAGTTCTTATAAAGTAAAGCTTTTTACTTTTCAAGTTAATTTACTCTCTCCCCCTGTTTCTCCCTGTTTTTTTTTTTTCCCCCTGAATGTCCTGTCTTAAATATTTTGGATTAAAACCCTTTAGTCTGGACTTGATGCTGTACCTAAAAAGTTCACAATACTAACTTTGTTTAACCAAACTGGTTAAATTTCTGAAGTATTTTTAAGTTTGTGGTCCACAGCAGATGGAATTGACTCGTTTTTGTAGTACCCAAAATATGAATATTATAATTTTTCAAAACTAGAAACCAAACCCATTGCCGTCGAGTCGATTCTGACTCATAGCGACCCTATAGGACAGAGTAGAACTGCCCCATAGGATTTCCAAGGAGCGGCTGGTGGATTTCAACTGCTCACCTTTTGGTTAGCCAGCCGAGCTCTTCACCACAACGCCACTGTGGTAAAAATGGTGTTTCTTCTATAAACAAAAAAAACCCCAAACCCATTGCCATCAAGTTGATTCTGACTCATAGCGACTCAATAGGACAGGGTAGAACTGCCCCAATAGGGTTTCCAGGGAGTGGCTGATGAATTCAAACTGCCAGCCTTTGGTTAACTGCCATAGCTCTTAACCACTGTGCCACCAAGGCGTTTTGTTGACTCCGTGTCTTCTGATTATGCTTGGAGGAAAAAAAAACAGTAGGAATAATCACGTATACTGAGGGCGATAGTGATGCCCTGAATGTTCTTATGAGGCTGTTTCTGAAGTAGCTACTGAGACAGTGACATCAGGATAACATTCATATTTGTGTCTCCTCATGAGAAGTTCATGGCAAACCAAAACAGATAAATTTAGTTCAGCAGGAATTTGTTATTAACTTTTGGCCTAGTGCTATACTAGGCTCTGAAGCTTTGACCTATCAGGTCACTGTCCCCATATAAATTAAAGTTGTTTTAGAGATAGAATATTTACATAAAATAAAAATAGGGGAGTATAGTGTGGTGATTAAGGGTCACTGTTTTAGTAAACATACAGGTAATTAGTTTAATGGAAATGTGGAAGAGGACAAGATCAGTATACTGAGAGAGGTTTGAGTAGACTTTGATGGTTTTATTTTTTTATGGGGAAGAAAACCAAGAGTAAAGGCAGACTGTTAGGTTCAGGAGACAAGGTTACATAAATGGTTTTAAAATAGAAAAGATGGAGTCAGATTGTGGTGAGCCTTCGCTTCTATGCTTGGGAGTTGGATTTCACTGGCAATAGGAAACTATTAAAGAAGGAGAGTGTGTCTTAATAAGTGATATTTTAAGAAGGATAAACCAGGATGGATTGGGGAAGAGCTAAGAATGAGAAAAGAGGCATAATTAGCAGGCTCATGTACTGATTGAGAGATCAAGCTAATTGTGAACTGGAGTTGTATTGGTAGGCAAGGGAAAGAAAGGAAAATATGCTAGTGGGTTGCCTTGGAGGCGACTCTCAGCGGTTAGGCCTGAGTGCCTGAAAAGGAAATATGGCAATTGGAAGGAATAGTATGGGAAGATAGTTTTCATTTTTTAATATTTTCAATTGAAAGTATTCAAAGGACAACGATACTGAAATTTCCAGTAATAGAATTAAGTAGAACATGAAATAGAAATACAGTTGATCCTCATTATTTGTGGATTTCATATTTGTGAATTTGCCTCCCACCCCACTGCCATCAAGTCAATTCTGACTCATAGTGACTGCATAGGGTTCACAAGGCTCTGTATCGCTACAGAAGCAGACTGCCACATCTTTGCGGTGCCGCTGGTGGTTTCCAACCATGGGTCTTCCAGTTAACAGTCAATCGCTTTAACCACTGCACCACCAGAGCTCCTTAAATAATTAGATAATCAGCTAATAATTGATGGAACCACGGGTTGGAATTTGAACCTAAATAACCTGGCTCTAAAGCCTGTACTCTCCCTACTCTGCCAGTTCTCCCTGGAAGCTGCAGAGATAACGTCACATTTGAATCCTGTACTTTACTTGGATCAATAAAATATCTTTAAAGGACCTAGGATTAATTATCATTTTTATTGCTATCTTCAAATGGTTTCTGTCTTTCTCATTCCTGCCCTCCTTGTTTCCTTTCTTCATTCTACTGTCTCCTTGTTTATATTCATAACATTTAGCATTTTAAGGTTGAAAAATTCTTTATATAGTGCCTTAAGTTCCTTGGCAGCATCACACACTATAAATCTTACTAATAAATCTATAAATCTAAGAATCTGGGAGTTAGATGGTTTCAGTTACTGAATTAGGTACATTGGCATGCTGAAAGATTTGCTTATAATAAGTACATAGCAGCACATTTCTATTAAGACTGTTGATGTACTGTGAAATAGAAAAGCTTTCACTGTACTTAAGAAGTATTGCTTTGTTTCCATATTCAGCATTGACATACATTTTAGAAGTGAAAAACAAAATGCGTAAGAATAAACTAGGACACTCTTATATGCAGGAGGAGTACTGTACTAAATGATGCAAGGGAGGTGCAGAGGAAATGGACAGCTATCCTTGGGGAGAGCAGGCTCTAGTTGGAGAGACAGAATGCCCACAAAAGCTTTTGGCAGTTAAAAAAACATCATGTAAATGACAGTAGTACAAATTGAGCCCACAACTGCTGAAGGAATTGCTGGAAGTTGCTGAAAACTTCCTGGAAAAGTTGAGTTTTTGATAAGTTGGCCCCTAAAGAGGATGCCACCAATGTTTTGGTGAAGAGCATAAAGAAGGCTTGTAGAGAGTCATGTATTAAATAGGTTAACTTGGCTGAAATACAGAGCAGCCATGAGAGCTAGCTTAATGACATAGAGATTTGGATTGTGGTAAGAGGTGCCAGTGGAGTGTTTTGAAGAATAGGCCAAGGTTTTCTTGTTATGGTTTTTTGTTTTTACCCTATCATCTTACTGGAAACAGCACTATTCACAGTATGGCCATCATCTTGAAGTTGAAATACTAGTATTTTTGGCTTTCCACGTACTAGGGGGTTAAAGTTACTCTGATTCTTTTCAGGGAGTGAAACTGACCAATAGGAAGAAGCTACATGAAGACATTTTTGCTTTAAAACAGAATTAGACAAAATGGTTTAGCTGTCTATAAATATAATGACTACTTTGCAAATTAGTCACTGGAATTACTTAAGTAAATATTGGGCTTCTTTCTGGCAGAGATGTTGTAGGGTTAATTTCTGCTGATTGGGAGGTTGTGTTAAGATTAACTTGAGCATCTAAGAGTTTGTGTGAAATTAGCAGAAGAGAAGCTGGTATTGAAGCTCTTAGCTAGAAGGCTGTGCCAAACTCCTGATACGTGGTATAATGAGAAGCATGCCAAGGGGAAACACAGAAAACCTTGCTAGGGAATAATTGGCAGGAATTGGAGATGGACTTATGAGATCAGTCTTGTGAGAGTAATGGCTCCAAGGGACATGGACTTAGTCAATTGGAGGATGGCAATGCCTTGATGATAAGGACATACCATCTGGTAGAAGAAGCTGAGAGTCAGTGAATCTGGATTTTAGGTCTAGCTCATCCACCGTTTTAAACTGACGGGCAAGCCATTTAACCATTCTTTTGCTTGTATGCAGTTTAGGTATTGTACTATGTAATCTCCAGAATTCCTCTTGTAAATTAGTAAAATCAAGAGTAAATTAGGTGAAGGTTCAGTTTGTGTCTCACTAACCAGTTTTGCTGTTCAAATGGACATTCACTTGAAAGTTTGATGAGTTTTCTCATAAAGGATATCAGTAGGGCAGAGCAGGAATTTAAATTTTAAAGTTACCTTTGTTCAGGAGGTAATGTTGAATTCATAGAGGAAGAGAAAGGAGAGGAAAGAGTCCTGGGTTCAACCAGGAAAATGTTGCCAGTAAGGAGACTTGGCAGTAGGCATTTATTATGTATGCAACATGAATTCTGTGCCTCAGGATAGTCTGTTAACTGACAGTCTTGTGAAAACTTCAGGATCCTGCCTATCTAAAATGTAAGATTTCAGAAAGATGCTACAGACTGATGGCCAGCTGAATCATAGAATATTTCACGCTGCTTCTGTATTTATCCGTTTTTATGCTTGCTTCTTTGAGTTTTGTTTGAAGCCTGTGTTTTTAAATATTCTCAGTGTTAGAGAGACGTCCATATTCAATTTAGTCTGAGTTCTTATTTGTGAGTATGTAGGAAAGCCAATGATCATACACTGGGGAGGTGATGGTGAGTAGGGTTAGTTGTGGTATTTCTACCCTTGGTTGACTTCTGACTCTCATTCATTGGTGGCATTGAGTGTCACATTGTTAATGATGGAAATGAAGAGTATCTCCAAGGAATCTCAGAGGTCATGAGATAGGCCTCAACTATTTCCTTATCTTGAGTCATATAGTATTTTAAAATGAACAGAAGCAAAATGAAGAAAAGCCAAAACAAATTGAAAAATACATAGTAGTCTACAAGTAGTATGGTCTGGAAAATGTAAAGTTATAGGGAGCATGCTTTTTCCTGTCCTGCAGTATTTCTCTATGATCGCATGAATAACTTTTTTAATTGTTTGCACAAGGAGTCTATTCTTGAGGCTTCTCTGGCTCTTCAGTTAGGACCAAGTGAAACTCTGCCTAGTCATCCTTGATTTCCCCTACCCAAGGCAATAGGCTGCTGTTTCTAATTTTAAAATCTTTTCTAATTGTAGGCTTTGACAAAATTCTTGAAATGTGTTAACTGGGATCTACCTCAGGAAGCCAAACAGGCATTGGAACTTCTGGGAAAATGGAAGCCAATGGATGTAGAGGATTCCTTGGAGCTGTTATCTTCTCATTACACCAATACAACAGTGAGGCGTTATGCTGTTGCCCGGTTGCGGCAGGCAGATGATGAGGTAATTATTATTTATTACTCCTCTCAGCTGGGTACATTTGAAACTAGAGCCTGATTATCAGACTGTGTGTGTGTGTGTGTGTGTGTGTGCGTGCGCGTGCGTGCGCGCGCGCACGAGAGAGAGAGATGTCTTAGTTATGTAGTGCTGCTATAACAAATACCACAAGTGGGTAGCTTTAACAAATTTATTTTCTCACAGTTTAGCAGGCTAGAAGTCCACATTCAGGGTGCTGGCTCCACTGGAAGGCTTTCTCTGTATGTTGGCTCTGGAGGAAGGTCCTTGTCTCTTCAGCCTCTGCTTCCTGCTTCCTTGGAGATCTTCATGTGTCTTAGCATCTATTTTAGCCCATCTCCCCTCTGCTCACTTATTTGCTCTCTCCTACATCTTAAAAGAGATTGATTCAAAACACACCCTGCATAATCCTGGGCTTCAGCTTTGCCTTCCAGGCCCTCTCTGATGTCAACTCTGCTCCCTAGGCTTTAGGCAACCCCATACTCCTAGTCCATCTGAGTGGTGACCTCATACCCTTGGCTCCGGCAGGCCTCTTTCTGTCGCTTGGACATGGCAGCTTCACCCCCTCAGCTTTGGGTGGTGGCCTCCTCCCCCTGTCTCACCTTAACAGCATCCCCACACTCTAGAACTGAGTTGGCAAAGATCCAACTCTTTGAACCTGGGAGGCTATGGTCCCCCCACCCTTTGAAACCAGAAAGACCCTGCTTCCTGTGCTTCTTCCAGCAGTTCTGCTGAGCTCTGTGCTGCACCAGGGATGGTCCTTTTCTTTTCTTGGAGGACAACAGATGTAGCTCCTTTGGCCTGTTTCCTGCCCTGTAGAATTCCAAGAGGCAGACAGCATTCTTTCCTTTCATTCTTTCTCTGTACCCTTTAGTCTAAGCTGATGGGTTTTCTGCTGTGGTAGTTGATCAGATCCGTCAGTCACAGGCTTAATCTCTTTAACAGAGTTTGTGTAGCCACATTCTTGGTGAACACTTTTAGGATGTTTGTCCTCAGTTTTTACAGCAGAATTTTCCAAATCTTTAAGTTCTGTTTTCATTTTGCAGAGTTCATTTTTAAGTCCATCTCTTTCCTCTCGCATTTTACTACAAGTTTCAGGGAGAAACCACGGGGCCCCTTTAAGATCTTGCTTAAAAATCTCATCAGATATATGTCTAAGTTCATCACTTAAAATTTCTACCTTTTATCAAACATTTGAACCAAATTCAGACAAGTTTTTTGCCACTGTATAAAAAGCATTGCCCTTCTTCCATCGTACAGTCAGATGTTTATCGTTTTGTTTTAAAGCCTTAGCAGAAGCACACTTAACGTCCACACTTCTAGCAACATTCTGTTGCTGGCGCCATGTGTATTCTCTAAGATGCTGAGATTTTTTCTGTGGCCGTCCTCACTTCCTTCTGAACCCTCACCAGAATTACCTTTGAAGTCCATAATTCTATGAACAGTCTCTGCAAGGCAATCTAGGCTTTTACTGTTAGGTACCTTAAAGCTCTTCTAGCCTCTACCCATTACCAAATTCCAAAATGGCTTCCACATTTTGGGTATCTGTTAGAACAGCACCCCAACTTCTCAGTACCAAATTCTGCCTTAATTATCTAGTGCTGTTATAGTAGAAATACCACAAGTGGGTGGCTTTAACAAACAGAAATTTATTTTCTCACAGTTGAGGAGGCTAGAAGTCTGATTTCAGGGTGCCGGCTCTAGGGGAAGACTTTTTGTCTCTGTCAACTCTGGAGGAAGGTCCTTTTCTCTTTAGCTTTGCTTCCTGGTTCCTTGGAGATCTCCATGATACTTGGCATCTGTCTTCCATCTCCCCTTTGCTTGCTTGTTTAATCTCTTTTGTATCTCAAAACAGATTGACTCAAGATACACCCACCACTAATCCTGCCTCATTAACATAATAAAAACAACCCATTTCCAAATGAAATTATAACCACAGGCATAGAGGTTATGGTTTACAGCACATAATTTTGGGGGACATAATTCAATCCGTACGACAGAGACAAATAGACATAGAGACAGTTTTTGGAACGGAGGAGGATATAGTAGGTGTATTTTCAGAAGTAAAATATTCTTCCAAGGACTCTTCTGTAAAATGAAAGTTTACTTCCTGATCTCATATGTGATAGGACAGTCTCTTCCAGGACATTTACATGGCAGCTAAACTTGTATTGCTTTCTGGAAAAAGGAATTCTAACAAAAAATGGTTTAATGCAGCGCCAGCTAGGGAATAATTCAGATGCCCTCTATCAGTCAATACACAACAAGCCACATTCATTTGTTGCCTTGAAAAGCCGTTGGGGCCTTTGAAGCATAAAGATGCATGGTCATTCTGTTCTCCTTAGAACTCCTACTTATAAACTTTCAGCTGATAATTATGTGTATATGTAGATAATCTGTAGATTGTTTTAAATCCTCTGGAAAGCAAAGACTGCTGGCTCTTTATATACATGGAGGGTTACCAGGGAAGGAGGAACATTTCTGTTGACACAAAGCATGCTGGATTTTGAATTTTAGTAATTGCTAATGAGGTAGACTGATCCAGCATTTTTTTTTTTCCTTATCAGTTTTTATAGGGTGAATGTGTTCTCAAACATAATCTAATAGTTTATGCTAGTGCTAGCCAGTAGGGCTTATGGGATATTATTTATGGGTTAACTTAATTGAATAACTTATTCTTTTTAAGCCTGATATATACGCACACACGTGTATGTGTGTATATATATACATGTTGATTCTGCAGGAAAACTATTATCAAAGACCTTTTTTAAAAATAGTAAGATCATTTTAAAACTAATCGTTCTGTGTAAATTTCAAGAATCAAAATGAATGTCGATTAAAGTCAATAGTTGTATTTATGCATTTAGTTATGGTAAAATTTAAATTCTAAAGTAAATAATATAGTAAACCCTCAGAATATTTTACCCATCTTCAGCAGTTGTCAACTCATTTTTAATCTTATTTCACTATAACACCACCTGCTCTCCACCCAGATCCACTACTCCCACTAGATTATTTTGAAGCAAATTTCAGATATCATAAAATTTTATCTGAAGAGGATTTTTTTCACTATCCTATGAAAAAGCAGTTCTTATCATTATGATTCAGTGTATTCTCTTTTCCAGTTGTCTTTACTGCATCACATGTAAAAAATGTGTAATATTAATTAGAATTATATTTATTTTAAAGTTAATTAAAAATTTTACTTAAATCATTAATTCTCTATCCATGTTTGATATAAGCCATCTAGGGCTTAAATGAAAACTTCTGGACGGTAGTTAAGTCAGTCCCTGGATATGGGTCCAGAATTTAATGTAGAAAAATGTGAAATCATCATTTTTGTTTTTTTGGCCCCAGTGCCCTCAGAAGCTTAAGTGCTAAGTATTTGATTGTCTCTAGAGTTACCAGTGTTCATGCAGTTACTAAGGACTATTCCTAGACCATTTCATAATTTTTGTTTTTTTAAATGAGGTAGAGGATACTGACAGAAACACTGTATTCTAAACTTCAAAATATGGTGCAACTATGGATTGTTAGGGTTTATTGAGATTTTGTAGATATAGCATAACTAGTATTGCAACGTAATTCAATAATCAATTGTATATAGCATGTTAAAGGAAAGGTCTGTTGATTTTATTACTACTGATTCTTCAGATTTTGTTTTTAATTTTATGTGTGTAAATAAAAACAAGATCTGAGTTTTGTTTTTTCTCTGATTCTGTGTACCTATATGTCTTTGGGAACACTATTATTCTGGCCTCAGTTTCCTATCTAAAAAACAGCGATGATAATAACTGCTTACATCACTAGGTAGTTAGGAAGAGAAAATTAGGTGGGCAAAGTTTGGAGAAAGAACTGTACACGTGCAAGAAGATTGTGGAATTATATTATGTAAAATTTCATACTAAAATAATTTGTGTTGTGCCTTTCATCCCTAATTGGTTTAAAATGTCCTTTTTCTGTATCTTTGGGTTTTATGAACGTCAACAGTTTTTTGGTATTGCCATGAAGAATACAGTCATATAATCATAGCATTGAATGGTACATCAAAGGGCACTTTGTCTAAATACCCACATGTTGGACAGCTGGAAAACTTGAATAAAAGATGGCCTGTTTTATGTTTGAACAGTTATTCTAGTTTTCTAAATATGTTACGTTCTCTTTGGTAGCAATGCCTATGCATATGTTACTCCATTGACCTGGAAGCATGCCCAAGTTTCTCTCTTCTTTATTCTTTAAGCCGTCACTCAGACACCACCACCTCTGGGAAACTGCCTAGGAAGCAGTAGCCATTTTTTGTTTGTTTTCTGCTGCTGTGGCATTTAGTATGTTCCTTTACTGTAATATTCATATGTGTATTTTTTTCTTTGCTTTCTAATTGTGAAAGAAGTGATATAATAATAGAAAGTAATATTCTCTTGACAATCCTACTTGTTTCACCACTTCTTCTTCCCAGAGGGGTAGCCATTGTTAATATATTCTTATATGGCCTCCCATATATTCTCTATGCAAATTTTAAGCATATGTTTGCATATAAAGTATATGTAATTCTCACTTTTTGAAAATTAACATAACTGGAAGTATCATATATATACTGATTAAAGCTTGCCTTATTAACTGAACAGGTTATCTTGGACATTTTCCCATTATCAGCACATATATGTGGTATCCATAAAGTCTGGAAATATAGGCAAATTAATATCCATAATGTTGTCAAGAAATCTTTAATCTCTAAAAATATATTGTCTGTCTTTCTAGACTTTTATGAATACCTGTAGATCTACCTTCCTGTTTTTAAAAAGCAGCATAATACTTTACCGCAAGGCTGTTTTATAATTTGTTAAACCAGTCAGCCCTCTTTTAATGAGCAGTTAGATTATTTCCAGTCTTTTTCTGTACTTGTATTTTAGTAAACAGATTTGTGTTTATATATATTTCATATTATTCAGTAAGAGGCTTGCATTGGAATTGTTGAGCCCAAAGTTATATGCCTTTTATTTTTCTGATCATCACCTACAAGTCCTCTGGTTTTGTGCTTGCATCGTACTTTTAAAAAATTTCAATAGTGTTATAATAAGTTTAAACATATGATTGGACAAATACCATCCATCTCCTGTTTTTTACAGTTTTCCTTGAAAGTTTTGTACGTTTATTCTTTCCATAAATTTTAGAATCACGTTATCATTTTCCTACAACTCCATCAGAATGCTAAGTGAAATTACATTAAATTTATATATTATGGAAAAATTGACACCTTTATGATATTAAATCTAACTTTCTGGGGACATGATTTTTTTTTACACATTCAAGTCTATTTTATAAAAATATTATACATTTTTAATGCTAAATTTATTTCCTGGTATTTTATATTATTGTTACTATTATGAACTTCCCCACGTGTTTGTTCTCGTTTCCATTTGTTAACTGAAGGGAAAGCTATGTTTTTGTTATTTATATTGCATCTAGTCACTTTAGTGATTTCTTTTATTAGTGCTAATAGATGTTAGGGGAGTTCTTGTAATTTCTGAGCAACAGGATTATGCCATCTGGAAAAATGTAATTATGCCTCTGTTTCAGTATTTCTATTATTTCTTTCTTTCATTGCAAAGTAATGGCGAATAATATCCGTGTATAGTGGCCATCTTTGCTTTGTTACTCATTATTGTAGGAATGCTTTATTGTGTGTTTCCTACTTGTTTCAGTCAAATATTCTCATATTTATGAAGTTCGCTTGTGTGTGTGTGCTTGCATGTGTGTGTGTATGTTTATATCAAGAGTGGCTTCTATATATTATCAAACACTGTTTTTGACACCTTTTCGTATCATATGGTCTCTCATCTTTAATTTGTTAATCTTCTGAAGTATGTTGATAAATTTCCTAATTTGTACCACCTGTACAATTGTAAAATAAATGTTACTCATTCTTTTAATACCTTTCTGGATTCAATTTGCTGATACTTATTTAGGGATTTTTTTAAAGCCATATTTATTACTGCTATCTTGTTCCAAAGGAGAGGGGAGATTCCTGTTTCATTAGAATTTAACGATGAGGTGGCATTTAAGATGGACTTTGAAGGAAGGGTAGAATTTTTACAAGTGCATCTGATTTTACATTCCAAGTGGAGATAGCAGTATTAGTGAAGGCAGGGAGAGTGGAAAAAAAAGTACAGGAAGAACAGAATATATTTCAGTTTGACAGGGATGTGGGGTACATATATCTGTTGGGGAGGCAAGATCAGCACCCATGTCTTTCTGATTGTAAATGCCTATGTTAATAGTTACTTTTAATTCAGTAAGAAATGGTAAGTCAGTGAGCAATTCTGGCATGGCATTTGCACTCAGAAACATTAGAATTACCTTACTCTTGAGAAAAGTAGTGATCACTATCTAAATAAAATTTCATAGCTCTTCAGGAAATTTTCACTGAATTGCCTGAAATGCAAACGTGATTTTTTTTTTCTTTGCTTTGTTCATATGCTTATGTCTTTCATGCTTGGAAATTTTATAGTTTTCAATAAAAATTTAATGAGAAAACATAGACTTTGCAGTTACTATTGAAGTTAACTTGTTTTCATAAAAATGAAATAAAGTATAGTTTGAATATAAAATAGCAAGTGACCAACAAATCAGATAGTGATGAGTGACTTAAAAAGAGGAAAGTAGTCTTCTGAACTCCCCCTTTCTGGGAAATTTAATAACATTGTGGCCCTTTTGATTTCATGTGCTAACCAAGTCTTTTCTGTAATTGGGAAAACCCAACAGGTGACACATTCAGCAGCATTTCTGAAGCATATCTCAGTAATGCAGGCTAACAGTGAAACTGAATTACTTAATACCTCCCAAGAAGAAAGATACTTGTCATTAAACATACTGATCAATTTTCTGTTATATAATACTTTTTTCTTTGAGAAACCTTGTAATCATACTTGTAGATGCCATAAATCTCAAAAATGGTAGTAGAAAATCAGATGTTTTAGAGAGCTATTTCTTTGTTTATTGCTCTAATTAAAAAATGATTTTTAGAGGCAGAACACTTAAGAGGTGCGCTGGTAGGGAGTCACGTGATTACCCTGGCTGTGGACATTGGTATTTGTGTAAGAATTAATCAGCTAGTTAATCAAAATCTTTTCCTTAATTTTTCTATGGAAAAAGCATAGTGGTGAAATCATGTGCATTACTCTTTGTCATTATTTGCCTAATGATAGAATATTTTATTATATCAATGTGAAATATATATATGTAATGGTATTAAATAAGGGAAAATAGATTGTTGTGAAGTGGTCTCTGTCCTCATGAAGTTTATAATACAGTAGAGAAGACAAAGAGCAAGTAGTGACAAGTGCAGTGGTTATTACTAATAGGAGAGGAAAGGGTAGACCATGGAATTTTAACAGGGATTTAACCTGGTTTGTGGCCTTACCGAGGAGACTGAAGTCTATCTATTTGGTGTGTCAACATTCTCTTAATATGAGTTATTGAGGAGTTAACTAGGTGAGTGGCAGGTAGACTTGGAAA